CAGTATCCATAGCGAATAATGCAATAAAGGCAATATTTACAAATTCGGTAATTAATTTGCAAACGATTCGCAGTATTTTCAATGTTTTCAGATCAATATCTTACAAGAAAAATTTAAATTCCGCAATTATCTATTTTTTCTGATACGATTTATACAAATTATTCTAAGCTGCACGATGTTCGCGAATAATTGGAATTAATTGAAAAAATAATTAATTTATTACTCAGTATCCTTAGCCAATAATGCAATAAAGGCAATATTTACAAAATCGGTAATTAATTTGCAAACGATTCGCAGTATTTTCAATGTTCTCAGATCAATATCTTACAAGAAAAACATATTTTTCTACTTTCTCGTAGAGTAAAAAGTTTTTGATTTTTTATAAATAAAGTTATAAGCTGATAATTTTTTACTTGAGATTACAAATATTTCTAACGATTCCGCAATTATTTCATTTTTTTCCGCTACGATTTATACACATTATTCGCGAACATCGTGCAGCTCAATCTTTCCAAGGCTTTCGATTGTGTTCATGAGATATTAATCAGGAAACTACAACGTTATGGTGCCAAAAATATTGCCCTTAGACTTATTATTTCATATTTAAATTGCAGAACTCAAAAAGTCGTTATAAATGGTAAAGGTTACTCCAGATCAAAGTCGCTTAGAGAAAAAAATAAGGAAATAAACATATTAACTTTGGCATCGCAATATATTTATGAAAATGTAATGTATGTGCATAAAACATAAATAGCTTTCATAAGAATAAAGATGTTCATACTTTAAACACTAGGTACAAACATAAGCTTGTAATACCAGTTACTAGATTCCACAGAATTAGTAATTCATTTATAGGGCAATGTACAATTATATACGTTTTTATAACAAAACTCCAGAAAATGTACAAAAGTCATTAAGCAAGTTTAAATGTTTTATTAAAAAAATATTGTAGAAAAGGGTTATTATAATTAAAGGAATACATAAATGAAAATAACCCCTGGTAATGAGGTGATCGACGCCATGCTGGTTCTATAAAAATTCATACAAAAATTGTACAAAATAAATTTATTGTAAATTGAAATATGTTTAAAAAAAGTCCCGCTGGGCTTCTTGCTAGTTCTTCCCAGGACAGAGGTTTTTTTTTTGCGAACCAGTGGTAAATAAAAAAATGACTCAATAAGTATTATGCAATATATTGAATAAAAATCAGTCATTTCATTTCATTTCACTTCTCCCCCAAGGAATGCCACAAAGCACAATGCTGAGCCACCTGCATCCATCGACTTCACTCCATCTAGTGGGGGATCGCCCTAAACTTCACCCACCAGTAAGAGGCTGCCACTCGAGAACCTTTTTTGCCCATCGGTTGTTGATTATTCGAGTTATATGGCCTGCCCATTGCCACTACTAACTAATCTGTTTAGCTTACTAATCTGTTGGGCGACGTTGGTCATTCTGGTTGTATTGCGGATATCCTTATCTCTAACTTTATCATGCACAGAAACGCCGAGCATAGCCATCTCTCGATTTTGAGATTCCTCATACGACCAGCCACTGCTGGCCAACAGTGAAGGGATTTATATTGTAATACAAAATTATGATTTTATTAGTTAATAGAATTATGGCCAGTTTTTGAAAGACTGATCAAACTCAGATTTTAATCAAAAAGTTGGCTATGGATACTTTTCACGTTTATACCGACCAATAAAAAAACTGTAGTCGACATAGTTGTAATGCCTTTGGCTGTTAGCATGGTATATTTTTATCAGGGTTACTCTCCACTCTCAATTTTAATGCCGCCAGCGCTTCTAGAGCAGCATTGGTCAGCCATCGATGGTACTGTACCACTAAGTCAATGTCCGTGTTGCAGGCAAACATGTTTCAAAAATTTTACGTACTAAGCGATTAGTAATTTTAATTAATTATTAAGTGTTAGGGTGAAACATCTTAACTCTTTTTGAAAGTTCTCTTTCATAAATTCCTACCTTTTCTAAGACCTGTTTGTTTTCTTCATTTATCAAAGATGTCTCTGACAGCGAATCTAGTATTTCTTGTAAACTTGTAACTTTTTTCTTTAAATACCGTTTCTGCGATTAAAGCCTTTTTACGCTATTCATTTTTATTTCGAGATATCTTTTTAGTTTAATTTTCCTTGGTGTATAGTCTGTTCGCTTAGATATGGTCACTTTTGCGCCGCTCCGCCTCGGCAAGTGCAGTATTTTGTCCAAGGCACCGCCACGACATTAAGGGTCATGCTGAAAAGCACCCGAAACTCCAGAAATCAAAATTTCAAAACCAAACGCGATAAAATCCGTAAAATTAGTTTTATTCAATGCGTAGTGTTCTCGTAAACATAAGAAGTCATTATTGTTTTAAGCTTATTAGAATTCTAAAATATTTTCAAGAAGAATATTGAGTGTAAAGAGTAATAATAAAAATATTTAATATATTTCCAGACATACATCCCACAAGTTCAAGGTTGGTAGTATAGGGTAACCTTCTTTTATTGATAGCTTGGGGTATGAAATATGATTTATCAATATTTTCATAGCAAATTGTACTAATCTGTTTAGGCATCCAAGATTCATGTCTTATACAAGCTGTAATCTAACTCTATCCTAAGAGAATCTCTTGGAAATAGGGATGGATTTAGACAAGCTTGGCAGGAATTTGGGGGAGTAAGGTATTTCATTTAGTAGAGGTTTGGTCACCGATTATAACAATACCAATTGTATTAAAAGGTAATACAGCATTTTCGAGATTATAAGATAAAACTAATATAACCTAAAATGTGTAAAAACATGGAAAAACATATGCAATATTACTGTGAAATCTACATATAGCATAAATAGCATACAGAATTTTACATAACTGTGACAAGGATGTAAGATAATGTCAAAGATTAGTGTCACCTTATTATACTTCTGTAATATTTTTATATTTCTGTGTTCTGTCAAGTGTCATATCGCTTAGCGTTATTTTTATGCGTTCGGCTGTTGGTTGCTCTTTTTACGTAAATGTGTGCTCTTCAGTGCATTTATCGTGCTATACTTGAGCAGCCAGAAATACTTCTTGTTGAAAAAGGTTAGTAGGTTGTGACTATGAAAACCTTCATTGTTATTTTTTACCACCCAGCAATACTTGAGCACCGAAAAATACTTTAAGGTAAGATAGGTTAGAAGGTTTTGACGGGAGCAAAGCGCAGCGCAGCGTAACTCCCGCCAAAGACTTCGTGGTTGTTGTCTTTTACCACCGATAAATTTTTAAGCGCTCAGAAATTCTTACAGTTGCAATAGGAGACAACGCCGCTTTCCTCTTACCCACCCCTCCTACTGGAGACGTTAAATGTTATCATTTTGAGGTTAGATCTAAGAGATTTTCTTTTAGATTTTTCACAAGGAAAAGGGACACTCCCTCTTCCTCCCCCCCTGCCCCCTCCTGCCAAACGGTTCTAAATTTTTAAAAGGTTATAACAGTATTTTTATTTTCTCGAAAACGGTACAAAACCTTTTAATGCCAGTGGTATTATTATAATCGGTAACCTAACCTTTACGAAGAACCTAACGAAATAAAACGACATACTCCCCCAAATTCCTGCGAAACAATTCTGAATTTTAATCTGGAAATATGTAAAGTCAAACCAATTATAGAATTTTTTTTTTGCCTTTTGTAATAGTTTATTATATTTAATCAAAAATTAAAAGCCGGTTCAGTAGACAAACCCGAATGGTTTATTAACTTATCGTTATCTAAAGTTGTGGCGTACATCACTATAGAGCAGGTTGTAGTGATACCAGTTTATTTTATAAAAATTGCATACTTTTGATACAAGGTGGCAAGTGTCGATTTAAATTATTTGGCCTTTAGTTTGTATAAAATTTTGATAAATACTGGTTATCGATTACATTAAATTATATAATTTTCAGAATCGTGTTGAGATTAAACTGAATATTTAAATAATTTGACAAAATCCACTACACATCTTTATGTAATGATTGTCATATATCATATTGATCTCAAGTTGGTTTAGTTAATAGGAAATTATTTTTTCTTAATATGGTTATTTTGTGTACTATTTATATTTATTTAAAGATAACTTATTTTCCTTTTCATGAACTATGATAGCAACACTTGGAATTTGAAGAAAATATTCAGAAAATAAGAGTTTTAACGATAATAATATGTTAAAAATATTCACAGATAAAATGTCACGTTGTCTTTTTGGAGATTTTACGTTTTTGTTTGTTTTTGCATGAAAATACACCGCTATTCGACATTTTTGCCGAAGCTCGATTGACTGGCACGATCACTTGCGAAATGGTGCACGACGCGCAACAACTAGTTTTATATAACGGGGCTAGGAGCCGAATCCTCCTACCTTTGACGGAGGTGTATGCCTTGCGATGACGCCTCCTTTGATTTAATTTAATACTCAAAGCGCAGTGTATATCGGAACACGGTCTATAAAAAACACTACTCTCTAACCAAAGAGTATATAATAACGAAGTTTAATTACTACTACCATCATCATCATAGCAGAATCGTAGATTTCAATGTGGTCACATTGGCTGGTTTGGCAGAAAACCGCTAGCGCGCTTGTCAAGCAAAATGGCGGATCGTAAGCGGTAAGCGCTGTCAAATCGTAAGTAGCTATTTTCCTCCAGGACACGATGTTAGTTTTAACCGGGGAACCTAACCTAATTTAAATATATGTTTGTAAAGTATTTATATTAAAAACTTACCAATCATGAATTTTAATAACATGTATATGTTTATTCATGTCATTATATTACTTAAAACTAATATTGCACAAAATAACTTATAAACTCTACTTCAAAACAAACAAATTAAATAAGCAAAATGGCGGATTGTGTCAGCGCTACTGAAGTAGCAATCGTGTCCTGGCCGAAAACTATTTCAGCGCTTATAAGCGCTTGCTAGCGCTTTTTTCTGCCAAACGCACCCATTGTCTGTAAAACTTCTTTTCGTTGTCAAGCAAAATGGCGGATCAGGTGGGTGCCGTATTTCTGTATAAATTAATGAAATTTTGCATGGTTATACCGAATATTTATTGACAGATTAACTATTATTTTAATAGTAGACTTTTGTTTATTTCAATTGAGTTAAAAATGGACTTAATTGTATTGAAAATGTGTTTGTTGTCGATATCCACGTGGGGAGTGAACTTTCCCGATTATCTTCTATCTTGTGTTAAATAATTACGTATGAGATTTTAACATAATATATTGTTTGCTTATACTGCAGTTATATTAAACGTGATGTCATATAAAAATAGGTGAATGTTTATTTCCACCCATTTCTAGCGTTGTAAAATATATAACCTATTGTAGGTCCATATTTCAAAAAAAATTAAGGCTTCAACCAATCAATATTGTATAAATTGATTATAATTTAAAATAGACATTAATACAATTGTCGTGTGATATAAATTAAATATTTTCTTTTCATATCTCGCCTTTGGTATTTTTTTTAATCTACAATTTACTGGAAATCAATATGACAAATAATCATGCTAGATTTCAGTGTTTTGGGTCTAAAATTACTTTTCTGATATGCATTATTTTTTGTTTATAAACAAATAAAGCCTATATTTGATGATGATTAAAAATCAACATCCTAATTGTCTCACATTAAGCTGTTGTTTTATATCCAGGCCAGTTAGTTTCCTTTGAATTTTGACATGTACCTATCTACTGAGATTGATAATAGATTCCCCACCCCCCACTTTTGCCTTTATTAACATTATATTTATAATCAAAATTTGGGCAATTACATTATTGCAGTGTTTTGTATACGTTTTTAATTTATATTTAAACATTAAAATTTTGCAAAATTATCATTTTTACAGCTTGCTTATCTGCCATATTAAAGTTACAATACAGGTTTTATTTTCTTGACTACTTTCATTGGAAAGATATTTAAATGTTAAATGAGAAAAATAAGTCAATTTGGATATGATTGTTGTTGCATTATGTTTTTAACACCATTACATTGAATACGAGTAATGGCTAAGGCAGTGATAGCTTTATTCCCTAAATTGATATGCCAAATTACCTAACTTAAGAATGTCTTTGTCAAACCATTTGTAGGGAAAAACAAAAAGGGAAAAAAAAGAAAGACATTAGGATATTATTGTATACAATTGGTTTCTTATTTTCTAAAGTTGTATTAGAGGTTTGCTCATTCCTGGTTTTTTTTTTGAACACTGAAGTGAAGAACAAATTTAGGACTAAGGTGAAATGTCTTACAGCCTCTAATTATTCTGGCTCTATACACAGATGTGCAAGTACTCTAATTTGGCAGCAGAAATAGGTAATAAAACCATCTTCTGTACCTACCCAGATGGTCTCTGTGGCAGAAAAGCATCCTACCACCTAGTAAAAGAGAGGCACCTCCATGTTTTATGCATCTGTTATAGGGATAATTTCAAAGCTGTATGTTATACTTATAATGTCATTGTATAATTTTTTGTCCATTTTCTTCATTTCTTATTGTACCATAAACTAGTTTCCATGAAGCATATAGACCAGTGTGTTTTCGACAATTTCAGTGACATTCTATTGTTAGATTATCCACTTTATATATCCACAGGTTTAAAACTAGTGACTAAATAAGGACTTATGATGATTATAGAGTAGTCTCGTGCTGCTCCAGTGCATATTGGTGGACATCACATATCCTCAAAATATTTGTTAGACATGCATGTTCCTCACAATGTTTGCCTTTACCACATAGCAATTGATAAATCAGCACTTAAAATTGCAATAAAGATTCAATTGATGCCAGCCATGATCGCTTTAATACTGTAAGATTTACAGCAAGAGCTTGGTTTTTGTACCTGTAACTCTCATCACATACATGTTAAAGTTACAATCTATATATGTCCCACTGCTAGGCAGGCCTCCATATGAGAGTAGAAGAAGTCCACCGTGCTGCCCCAATGCATGTTGGCGAACTTCAGATATCCTAATTTTTTTATTTCTAGGACATTCAGGTTTCATCACAATGTTTTCCTTCACTGCATAGTATGTGATAAATCAGCATGTATCAGTGTATATTACAGTATCAAATACATGTGTGATACTTTAATATACCCTGCATAGCTGAGAGAATTTGATAACTGACCGAGATACGTACACACATAAACACACCTGTCACCCAGAGGGGTAGGCAGAGACTTCAGACTTCCATTTGGCACGATCCTGACACACCTCTCTTGCCTCCTCCACATCCATATACGTATGCATACATGCTCGTCAGTTAAGGGTACTCTACTACTATTACTACTAATTTGACCCATTTTCAATATATTGCCAATTTGGTCGATAAACTTTCGCCTAAGACGTCCTTTTCCAAATCTGCCATTCATTGACCGAGATAATCACTCATTATTTTTAAACTATAACATATATGATCATAGTTCAGGCTCTGCTCTTTCACAATGGATAATCATTAGTAAAGTAAGTGTTTCATTGAATCAATATGCTGTCGTTTGAGCCAATGTGGAAATAAACAAATTTTTTTTGATGTACATTAATATAGCAATGGATTATGAGTACCGACTTTCACATGCATAATAAAAGTTTCACATTTGCAAGGAATGAAGGTAATTGGTCATAAAAAAATTTGTTAATTGCTGGTTTCATGGACAGTGATTAGTGAAATCACCACAACTTTAATTTGTATGATTGAGAAATTTTGCGTAAAATAGCCTGTCTTTAGTTATCCAGCACTAGTCTTACACCTACTATTGTTACTTTTAACGAAATATAATCTTACCATAATTGTATGTTCATATTCTAATATAAACTATAAATTCCAGAATGAACGTTCATTCCAAAAGCAACCTACGGTGTTTTTGAACCGTAAAAAAGGCATTGGTGTGAAACGTAGCCGCAAGCCACTGAGATACCACAAAGATGTGGGGCTCGGTTTCAAAACGCCCCGTGAGGTAACGCATGATGTGTGATTCTAATGAGAGTTGTTTTTTTTTTTTGTAGACAGAGAAAGCGTTTCAAAAACAGGCAACGGTGTTCCTCAACCGTAAAGGAGGTTTGAAGAGGAAGGATATGAGACATCATAAAAATGTCGGTCTAGGTTTCAAGACGCCACGTGAGGTCTGAATTCTGGTATTTGGGTTCAGTGGCAGGCTATGGTTGCTTCATCGTTGATATATTGGTCTATTGTCTCATGGGTGGTGAGAATGAAGGTTAATTTTTAATGTTGTTTTTATAATTTGAAATACACTTTTTAATTAAATTAACCTCCATTCTTTTACCATTTTCATTGGTGATGGTTGTCGTATATATATAATATTTTCAATCTTTTAAAGGGATTCACAATGAAAGGCCATTGATGTACTAGTCCAATCTTGGCTTGGTTGCATGCAATTATATGTGCTTGTAAATATAATTAAGTCTTATATTTTACGTATCATGCTATATTTACGGGGTTTAAAGTTAATATGTGACTAACCTTATAGGGTTAAGATTTTATTATAAGATTGTTGTTAATATAGGGTATTCATTATAATTATTCTATTGGGGAAAGTAATTTATGGTTAGAATTTCTTTTTTAATAATTATGCATTCTTGGGATATATTTTAATTTAGTTTGATGTAATTAAAACATAGTCGACCTGACGGTAACTGGCTAGTTCTGACGGCCGCAGCTCATGGACACCTGCTACCAAATTTAGACAAAGACAGTAAAAAGAGCATTGTCACCTCTGAAGACTAAGTTTAAATGCCTCGCACAGCCTTTAGTTGCACTGTCTCTCTATACTATTACTGGAATACAGATGATTGCAGAAATTATAGGTACGTGGATGGTGTATACCAATATAGACTTAGGAGACAAAAAACTACCACGTAACGTAGCTGGTAAAGGGACAAATTAATATTGCTTAATGTGTTGCCATCTTTAAGCTTAGTGCTAAGTGTACGGTGATAATTCTACATGATGATAATCACACGACGGTCTTCTGAATACTACATGAAGAAGATTGTGTTTCTAACCCATAATCTGATTATTTTTATGTTGAAAATTTTGAACAAAATTTTGTATTGTGAAATCTTTCTTTCCATTACTATTTAAAAAATAGCTTCCTGTTAAGTTATTTACTTAAAGATATCAAGATTTTAACCTTCAATTGAAATTGTTTAAAAATTACATAAGTTGACCATATTTGATGACACATGGTATGTGTTTGCAAATTGAAACAATCTACATTGGTGTTTAATGTAACATGTTATTAAAAGGAAGTATTTAAATTAAATTTATTAACCTTTCATTTAATTACGTTTTTTATTACAAAGTAAGGAAACCTCATGCTCATTTTTTATATTTTAAAAAATTTATTCGGCATAATGCCTTGAATTTTTATTATAATAAAAAATTAATTACTATTTCTCACTGAGAAACGATTTTCTTTTCCAAATAATCTACAATGTAAAACTTTATCAAGATGTTAACAACTTAGAGATTCAACATTTTTAACATAAACAAACCAATCATAAAAGAATACTGTAAAATTAATCACGAAAAAAAATATTGACTGAGCTCTCACTGCAGGCAATTGAAGGCACATACATCGACAAGAAGTGTCCGTTCACTGGAAACGTGTCGATCCGCGGTCGTATCCTCACTGGAGTTGTGCAGAAGATGAAGATGCAGCGCACAATTGTCATCCGCCGAGACTACCTTCACTATGTGAGAAAGTACAACAGATTCGAGAAGAGGCACAGGAATATGTCTGTACATTTGTCACCTTGCTTTAGGTTAGTATAAAAATGTATTACTAAATAGAACAGGGATTCCTAAACTAGTTTTGGCAAGAGACCCTTTTACCAAAATGAACTGATACCTCAGACCCCCATAGCAAAATTACTTTAAAAATCTTATCTCTAGTTTTTTTCCTATTGATACATAATACTTGCCAATTTTAAAACTTTGCGGTTGGTAAAGTTCAAATTCAAAATCAAAAAAATATCAAATTTGCTTTGTCAAAATTGCATTTTCTCACTTGCTGAGTTTTTCATCTTGTATGAAATTGTGCATGCTTATAGACTTATTAAGTTTTTTAAAAGTACAACAATGACGCTTTCTACTAAAATATGAGTAATTCTAATAACAAGTTGGGACATGTAACACAACTTACACAATATCTTGAAATTTTCGAATATGAGCTTGTGTTAGGTGTAGATTTTTAGACCTTGTCGACCCTTTTTATATCGACCCCTTATAGTGATCACAAGGTTAGGGTGATTTCCTCAAATTTAATCAGAGCTATCATAAGGGCAAGTAATACATCTATTCCTTGTGTTGGCATCACTGAAATTGTTTATATCTGCTTGACATACAGGTTTACTAAAAACTTTTAAAGAAACCTTATTAGCTTAAAAATAAAGTATTTATTGCTAGGATCTTGAAACAAACCCAATGGTTAGAGCAATAATTTAAAAATAATCGACTGCTTAAAAAATCCACTAAAAGGAAAAATTCAAATATTTTAACCGTATATCGTGTAGGCGTTGTATGAGACAATAAAAGGAAACAAACGAGAAGATGAGCGGCAGCATCGTTTCTAATATCAATATTATGGGTGAAGCTTATGTTCGCCTTTTTATACCTCCAAGTTAAAATCCATAAATTTGTTTAGGCTACAGGCAAAAAATTTGTGGCATGGCATACTTACATACACACACTTGAATAACATTACCTTCCGTCTGTGCAAATTGAATTTTTTTAGATTGTAATTATATGTTAAGTAAACACCTAATAGGTATAGTGCTACAAGTGATGTTCAAACACAATCTCACTCATCCAAACCTGTGCATTAGTAATGTTTGTGTGATATCAGAGGTAGATTCTGATAAAAAAAGTACATGAGACAGTTTTATTGGGTTTTTCTGTCACAAAACTCAGTAGCAGTTTGGATTGGAAAGCTTGTAATGTTTCATCGTCATGCCTCAGGAAGAATGTTAGTCCTGTGTCTGATATCCATGTGTGCTATTTGACTATGAGTGTGAGAGATTAGAAAGCTTGTGAACCTGTGCTTGTGTTCACTGACTGACTGCCCCAGGAGTAGCGTAATGTTAATTGGAATAACATTACGTATATTATATATATCTAAACTAAACAGCTTGATTGATTTTCAACTGACTTAAAAAAAGGAGAAGGTTCTCAATTCAATTGTTTTTTTTTAATGTATGTTGCCTCGGAACTTTTTTCTAGGTAAACCGATTTTGATGATTCTTCTTTGGCTGATGCTTTTCATGTGATTTCACCTATAATTTTGATCACAATCTGATCAGTACTTTTTGAGTTATCCTTAATAATGCGTATATTTTTAATTGACTTCGACTACATTGATAATGTTCTCATTTTATTTATATTGAAGTCGGTTGTGGATTGTTTTTTAATTATAGCACTTGTAACATAATATGAGGTGTAAAGGAGACGGTCCAAAATTGTAGGAACTGCAGGTCTAGTTTTGTACTGGTATGGTAACAAATTAAAGTAAAATATTAAACCACTCTTGATTACTCAAATTCACGAATTTGCCTTTATTTCAGTGGTATTAATACTTTATTCTCACCAAAAAATGCAACGCTAATGGCTGATAGATGTCGTTTAGATGTTAACTGTCAACTGTCATGAGGTTATTGATGGTTATTTGAATTCTTAAATGCTGTGTTATCCTTATCACTAATCCGAAACCAAATCTCCAAAGAAATCACCAGAAACACAATAAACACATTAACGAGTTCACAACTACACCACTAAGGTCGAAATAAATAAAAATATCACGGCACCTACATTATTTCAAGACACTAGTCAGAAATGACATTTGACAAATAACCGCGTCTTTTTTGTGACTGGAGGGCGCCATCTTGTGAAACCATCAAAAACTTGGGATTGCATTTTTATTGTTAGCAAGCTATGTAGTTTGATTTGTTCTGTTATTTTAGATTTTATAAAATCCCTGAATATTTCGCTTTTTTACGGTAGTGTACACATACACTGAGCCTGATATGGACCGTCTCCTTTATATTGTTCGTTTCGTCTTAGTTGTGAATGTGACATATGAGGGTAGTATTTGAATTTTTTTCTTTTCAGTAGACAATGCAGTCATGTTTTGTAATTGCTGTTTAAACTAATGCTAAATAAACTGGCCTTGTTATGTAGTTATATATATATATATATATATATTTTTTTTCAGTTGACTATTTTTGTAGCCTGGCAACTTTTTATCTGAAACATTACATGATGATACCCACACGACGGTCTTCTGACCACAACATGACGACAAAAGTGTTTTTAACCCAAAATCTGATTATACAAAATCTATCTGGTATGTATTTTCATGTAAAATCTTGTTTGTAACATAAGCTTCTCATTGCAGGGACGTTGAACTTGGAGACATTGTGACCATCGGTGAATGTAGGCCTCTCTCCAAGACTGTGAGGTTCAATGTTCTGAAGGTCTCCAAAGGCAAGGGTTCCAAGAAATCGTTCAAAAAATTCTAATGTAATAAAATTACTTTATAAGTAAACATTGTTTTTAGTTCCTTTCATTAATATGCACACTCGATTTATCGAACTGTGATAGTTTAGTGGATAAGCGTTCTCCATTTTACATGAGCAAACCGTGTAGTTGCATTGTAAGAATATTCACTACCTCATATCTTCTCGCCGGTGTCGAAAGAGGTGACAGTAGGAAACAGAAGCAGGAGATAGTAGCGACATCTTCCTGATAACAACTCAAAATTATAAATAACTGTGGTTGCCTATCCACCTGACAAACATGGCAGCTATGGCAAAACTGCATTATAAGACAATCTACATGATAGGTCTATGTTAGCAGTATGCACTAGAGGCTGTAATGGATAAGTAAGGGTTATTTTGTAATAATACGCCAAACAAACAAACCTTAACGACCGCATTTCTCCTGCTTTTATTTCACTCTCGTGCTTCTACCACACCCAACTTTGACTACTATATGGGTCTAACACAGCATTGTGAACCTTTTTTTATACATTCTTACTTTCCACAATAGAGTGTAGAGCCACATTTACTTTATTTTCTGCGTTCAATCATATATATCCTTATTATATCCCATACACCAAATATACAAACTCATCTACTTGCTCGACCAACTACCCTTCTATTCTTATTTCACTTATCGTTTTACTTTCTTCTCTTTCAAAAATCATAACGTTCGTCTTACTTACATTCACTTCCATTTAATGACCTGTTTATTAACCATCATTTGCAACTTGGCCGCCGACGACGCAAATGTGACTTAATCATCGGCGTACAAAAGGCATTTGACGAGTAACCCGTACCTAACCCGCATTCTCAACTTTCAAAATTTTCAAACAACTGTTCATAAATAGGTCGAACAGCCACGGGGAAGCCATTCAGACCTGTCTGACACCTTTATGGATGCCAAACAAGTCCGAGTAGGCCCCCGTTAATCCTAACAAAAGCAGAGTCCCTATAAAGATGACTAATGCCTATATCAATCATTGACATCGCTGAAGGCACTGTAGCAGCCCCCACCCCCAATTTCGACGGAATCAAAGGCTTTCTCATGGTCCACATACGCAAGGCAAAGTGGCAGATTGTCTGATCTTCTGTTCTGTACAATATGCCGCAGGGTATGTATGTGATCTATGGTATTGAAGCAAATTACTACGCTACGGTTACAATAACTGAACTATAAAGCTACCCAAAAAATCAAAAACAATGTATTTAAATACCTTGGCTCCGAAGGAAAAGGTAGATAGTGTAAACAACAAATAAACCTGAAACACGATTCCTAACAGAAATGTTATCGTATTCTACTTAGTGAAAATCTTGTTAGTAAACAAAGTTTTAATTTCAGTATTTTGTGCTATTATAACTTAAAATACTGTAATTATAAAAGACAAGTACGGGTGTGTAGATACTTGGATAGTGAAGTAAATTTCAACTAAGTTTTGTAATAAACAAGAGCCGTGGTAGCTCAGTGGTTAACGCTCGCTGTAAATATAACAGAACGCGAGTAACCCGGGTTCGATCCCCGCCGGCACCAATGAAATTGTTAATTGCAATTTTAAGTGCTGATTTACCACGTGCTCGGCGGTGAAGGAAAACATCGTGAGGAAACCTGCATGTCTGAGGAATAAGAAAAAAAATATTTCGAAGACATGTGAAGTTCGTCAACACGCATTTGGACAGCGCGGCGGACACTTCCTTGCCCTAAACCCTCTCAGAAATGAGGGGAGGCCTGAACCCAGCAGTGGGACGTATATAGGCTGTAACTTTACTTTACTTTACTTTACTTAGGTATTGCTTCTATAGATAAATTATTACTTAATTCTTGATGTAAATATCTAACAAAAAAAAAGAAATAAATTCACCTTTCTTAACTTCCTACTAAAATTCGGTAACTTATAGAATGAAAAAGTATATATATATACAACATGTAACACAATTAACGTACTTTGAGAAAGTAGTTTGTTCAGAATCGTTTACTGAATCGATTCCTATGATTTTTAATATAGGTAATTATTTTCCCAAAAATAAACTACGTAAATTGCAGTGACACTAAATCTGTACAGTCAAAACAAACTGAAATGGACCGTAACTTAAGGCAATAAGACTTTTTTCTTGACTTTATTTCAAGTACGTTAAAGTCTTTGCGTTCGTGGATTTGTACTGTGACCACAACATTCTTCCGGAATTAGTATAACTAATTTGATAAATAATCAGTGCATAAATTGTTTAACTAAAAATTCAGTGTATGTATTATGATTATAACATAATATACTTATTGGGGTGTCTGAGGGTGTGCGTTAATTACGTTACATATTTTATCCTACAACTAAATATACTAAACAAAAACTATTTCAATAAGTATTTACAAAAAACTATTTACGTAAACAGCGTTAAAAAACTAACATTCAATCGCCCAGAACGCGCTAGCCCCGTCTGAGTATGTTACCCAGGGCGCTTCGCGAGTGTAGGTAATTATTTCACGCAGGTAGCAAGAGTGACAGAGGCCTGCTTACGGACTGATATACAACCCATCACAAGTACACAGATGAACTTAGTTAACTCCATTGCCATAAAGTGCGACCTTAGGGCTATATATACTATATCACCTACTTTGCTCAGGCAAAAGATACCTGCATGTTGCATCATGTCACCATACCATCTAGTAGGGTCTCCCAACTCATCCAGTCACAGCAGTCTACAGCCAGTACAAGGAGCTGCCACATAAGAACCTTTCTTTCCCATTTGTTTTTAGTTCTTTAATCAGTACGACCGACCCATTGCCACTTCTACCTACTGGCTTACCTTAACCTTCAATCCGCTCGAATGGATCACTTACTTTTTTTCTTCTGCGTGTATCCTCGTTATTGCTTTTATCACACATAGAAATCCTGGGCATAGCCCTTTCTATCGCTCCTTGTGTTATTTTGTGCTTTCTTATACGACCTGCGGTGAATGATCACGATTCGTTTCCGTAAGTCATCACTGGCAACACGCACACAGTACTGTGTAGTGACAAGCTTGAACGCAAAGAATATGGGCAGCAGCGTCTTCCTGATAACGACTAAAAATAAAAAAAACTGCGGTTGTCAACCCGCTTTCCTAACGTAGCAACTATGCCAAATATCCCCTCTATGGGGAAACTGACCGCCGAAGAAGATTGGTCAGTTTTACCATCATTCAAGTGTAATGTCCCTCTGAACAGTAGCGTAGCAAAGGGGGGGGGGGACCGCACCGGGTGTCACCTTTTTTGAGGTGACACCCACCCGGCCTCTCAACTTTAAGAACTTAAGAAATTAGCTCCATCTAAATTTACTGATTTTTATGATGAGGTCTCAGAAACCGAATTACTTTTGGAGATACCAAGACTGCGAAGACACTTAAAAGCCACTAATGTTACGGTTCCTGATTAGCTGTCTGTAGATTTTTTTAAAATTTATTATAATATTTTTAAATGTTATTATATATAGATTACACTGAAATTGTTCATGACGGTTTGCGTGTCCGTAGCTTCATGTGAGAGGAGTTTCAGTGACCCAATCGCGGCTTAGCAATCTTGGTATATTAGCCAACGAACACGAGGCAATACAAAATATAAATTTCGATGAAGTTATTGCTGAGTTTGCAGCTGTCAAAGCTAGAAAGAAGAAATTTTAATTGTATAACAATTCCTTTTCTGTCTTAGTTATTATTGTGTTTTGTTATTTCTTCAATATTATAAATAATAAATGATCCATGTCCTTTATCATATAAAATTTATTGCTTTTTACTTTCGATGGGGTGACACCACCAACTTCCGCACCGGGTGCCACCCAAGGTAGCTACGCCACTGCCTCTGAACATATAGCTGATGTGAAGAATCGACGCTCCGGGAAGTCTGCAGTCTGTGAACACGTACAGGATCGCCCCCGTCACTACATCAGATTTGAAGACCACAAATCCTCGCTAAAGAACACCGATTCCTTCCAAGGATGATTCGCGAGGCTATTGAAATCATAAAACATCCTAATTTCAATAGAGAAGATGGCTGGGCGCTACCATCTGCTTTGGACCTATAATTAATAAAATTAAATCAACACCCCAGGCATACAAATGCAAGACTTCATGATACTATAAGTTCCTACTGTGTAGGTCGGCACAAAAATTAATAATTTTAATCTATAGGTAATCGCGATTAGTGGTAGGCATTGTGGGAAAGCTGTATGCTAAGGTACTATTGAAAGAGTTATCAAAGAAATTGATGGAAAAATTTGAGATGTGCAAGCGGATTTAGAAAGGGAATGGGGTGTACAGAACAAGTCTTTTCCATGCGCATGATCACGGAAAAGTTTTTGGCGAAAAACCAAAAAGTTTTTTGTGCGTTCATGGACTTGGAAAAGGCTTATGAGTCTACGACAGAGTGGACAGGGATGTGTTATGGCAAACGCTGAACTTGTTTAGGTTGAGCGCTGGGTTGATACAGGCATTAGTCTCTGTATAAGGACTCGAGTGCTTGTGTCAGGATTAACGGGGGCCTACTCGGACTGGTTTTGCAGCCATAAAGGTGTCAGGCAGGGCTGTGTAGCTTCCACGTGGCTGTTCAACCTATTTATGGACAGTTGTTTGGAAAATTTGAAAGTTGAAGAATGCGTTACTCGTCGTGAGTTACTCGTCAAATGCCTTTTGTACGCCGTTGATCAAGTCGTATTTGCGTCATCGGCGGCCGAGTTTCAAATGATGGTTAATGAACAGCTCATTAAAAGAAAGGGGAATGAAATTTAATGCAAGTAAGATGAAAGTTATGGTTTTTGAAAGAAAAGAAAGTAAAACGATATGTAAAATAAGAATAGAAGGGGCGAAGATCGAGCAATTAGATGAATTTGTATATTTGGGATGTGTTGTTGAGTTGTGATGTTTTGATACTAATTTTATAAAATATTACATCTCTATCAAGAGTTAATTGAGCAAGTAGATGAATTTGTATATTTGGGGTGTGTATTCAGCAGGGA